ACTTCTGGGTGACTCAGCTCGTGTGAAAGTGTCTCTGCAGTCCTTACTGCTTATATATGCTTGGGGCGGGGCCTGGTGAATCTGGTTGGTTTCAGGGACTTCCTGAAGCTATGGAATGACAAGGAGTTTCCCTGCAGAGTGAGTTCCATCTCTCTTAGATGATGCTGAGAACTCCAAAATGGAAGGTTTCCTTCGGGGGAAATTACTGCACTATGAGCCCTTGTCAAGGTGACTTTCCCCAATGTCCTGAGGGCCCGCCCCTTCCTGTGGGAAGGGGAACCCAACTCTACTGAGATGCTATGGGGTGGCTTATACTGCCTTTGTACGGATCCTGTGTGACACTGGTTTCTGAACCCCGCTGGCCACATCCCCTGTTTCCCACCTTGCCCTTCAGCAAGCCTGCTTCTCGCATTTGATCGCCTGTAGCAGTCGATTGAGATTCCTGTCTTGTTTCCACACATCTACAGGGTCCGCCCGGAAACCAGAATGCACTCCTAAGACACGCATCTGCATAGCTTCCCACTTAAAAATTCTCCAAGTGACTTGATAAAGTCCTTGGTGTGGCCTTCGAGTAGCTTCATGATCTGATTCCTGGCTTCACATAGACAAGTGCCATCTTGGGTCCGTCGGTCCCAGTGTTTCATCTCCATAATCCCAGAAAGACATCTCCCTGTGGCCGTCTCCAGTTGGCACCTGATGTCTCTTTCTCTGCCCTTCCTCGCCCCTCCCCCTTCCCTCCCCCTCCCCCTTTCCTCATCTCCTCCTTCTCCCCATTCTTCCCCTCCTCCTCCCCCTCCTCTCTCCTCTTCCCCCTCCCCCTCCCTCCCTTTCCTCCTCTTCCTTCTCCTCCTTTCTCCCTCCTCCCCCTCTGGGGTCTGTCACCAGCTCTATCTTGGAAGCCATAACACCCTCCCCCATGCGCGTGGTGGTTTCCCAGTCTCTCTCATTGACATTTTGTTCCTCCAGTTGCTCAAATGTCTTCGCATAACACTTGTCGTATGCCAGGCCCTAGGTGTGACACGGTGCCAAGGAGGATGGGTTTGTCCACCTCCACTGGGGTAGCTGGCTGTTGTGTCTCTCCTGCAAGCTTCTTGGGGACGGGTCCCTGGGGGTGTCACTTCATCCCCAGCGTGGAGGAACTCACGGTGGTGCTCCCTGGAAGGGTCAGCACGTGGGTGCTGGATGACCAGGGTTTCCTCGGCGTCCCCTGAGGCAGACCCCAGTCTGCTGTACCAGGCTCTCTGCCATTGCGGACTAGGGACCCGGGAGACTGGTGAGAAGGCTCAGTCGGCAATGCCCTTGCCACGTAAGCACGAGGAGCTGCTTTCCCATGCCCAGCATCCACATAAAAAGTTGGCCACAGGGGTGATGGCCTGTAACCCCAGCCCTGGCTGGGTAGGGAGACAGATCCATCCCTAGGGCTCTCTGACCAGCTGGTTTATCCTAACTGGTGAACTCCAGGTTTCAGCAAGAGAACCTGTCTGAAAAAATAATGAGACTGAGTAAGGCAGATGCCTGCCGTTGGCTTCTGGCTTACACACACACACACACACACACACACACACACACACACACACACACATACACACACAAACATGTACCCACGTGTGTGTACCCACAGTCCCCTCCCTCCCCCACACAAAATAAAAAGATAATTTAAAAGGCGAACTGTGGACTGGTTTGGTGACTGGAGACAGAAATGCCCAAAACACTCTGGCTGTACCCTCTGTGCTTCATTAAAAACCTCTTAAACCCCAGAAGCCTGGTGACTGGGTCGTAGCTGTGCTGGGGTGTCTTGGGGGGCATTTATGATTTGAGGTGCAGAGTACTGCTGCCGGGCCCAGCCTCATAGCCAGGGGTGCCTGGGCTCCCAGGCTGAGCTCAGGTCAGACAGCCACCAGCCTTCCCTCCACAAACTGTTCCCTTGCCCATGGGGAGAACTGCTTCCCAAATTACAGCCCTCCACTCTGGGAGTGCTAAACACTGCACCGAGAACACATAAATTACATAAGGCCCTTCCCGTTGCCGCTGGGTGCCTGGAATAATGTCACTTTTCACCAAACCAAAAGGTGCGCTGTATTATTAAAAACAGGCTGGCATTAAAAAAAAGAAGTGTAGCCACAGTGACTGTCAGGTTCCCACCAGATGCCGGAATAATGAACCCGGAGACAGGATTCATAAGGCACGAGGGGAGTGAAGGGTGAAGCCAGCTTTGCAAGAGCGGTTTAAAAATGGGGGGAGGAGGAGGAGGCTGCTTTTCTCAGAGTATTGCATATTCCCTGTAATCTTTACTACTGAAATGTAGCATACCATATCTTGTTTTCCTCTTGGTTAGAGGCACAGCGAGTTGCGCTTTCTGGGCCTGAGAGTCATTTTAAACTCTCCTGTTGGTCCTTAGTCTGTGGTGTGTGTGTGTGTGTCTGTGTGTGTGTATCTGTGTGTGTGTGTCTGTGTGTGAGTGATATGTAACCTAGGCTGGCCTCATACTTGCTGTGAAGACAAGAATGATCTTGAATTATTATTATTGTTATTATTATTATTTTGGTTTTTCAAGACAGGGTTTCTCTGTGTAGTCCTGCTGTCCTGGCACTTGCTCTGTAACGAAGGCTGGCCTTGAACTCACAGAGATCCTCCTGTCTCTGCCTCCTGAATGCTGGGATTAAAGGCGTGTGCCACCAACAGCCCTTGACCTCAATCCTCCTGCCTCCATGCCCTCCATGCCCATTTCCCTTTTCATCTTGAGTCTTATAAATAAAGCCACTTTCTCAGTGATTTTTAATTTATAAAGAATTAGTGGTGTCCCCAGCCTGTCCTTGGGTCCTGAAGTGTAACTTCTTTTTGGAGGATTTGGGAAAAATTTGTGTAGGCTGTGATACAGGGCCTCTCTCCACCAGAGTTACTGTGTGTGTTACAAAGTCAAGGGATGTGATGGTCTTGGCTTGCTGTGCAGAATGTGGAGGGGAGGGACCATTTTCTTAGCCCACAGTGGCCAACTGTAACTCTTCACACTTCTGTGGCTTTGGGTTCCTGGACTTAAAGGTACAGCCTGTACGTGTGTGTGTGTGTGTGTGTGTGTGTGTGTGTGTGTACATGCATATGTGTGTACAGGGGACACCACAGGGACTTAGAGTTCCCCAACTTAGAGTTGCCCTCCCTGTAGCTGCTGGCAGACCATCCTTTGTGTGTCAGTGTTTAGACACACCCTGTGTATTTCTCAGCTAGATTATGAGCTTGCCTGGCCCAGACTTGGGGACCTGGTACTGCACACAGTGAGGCACACTCAGCACATAGTGGGAGTACACTCAGCACACAGTGAGGCACAGTCAGCACACAGTGAGGGTACACTCAGCACACAGTGAGGGTACACTCAGCACACAGTGGGGTACACTCAGCACACAGTGAGGGTACACTCAGCACACAGTGAGGGTACACTCAGCACACAGTGAGGGTACACTCAGCACACAGTGGGGGTACACTCAGCACACAGTGAGGGTACACTCAGCACACAGTGGGGCACACTTAGCACACAGTGGGGATACACTCAGCACACAGTCAGGGTACACTCAGCACATAGTGAGGGTACACTCAGCACACGGTGGGGACACACTTAGCACACAGTGGGGCACATTCAGCACACAGTGGGGCACACTAACTGTGCTTCTGAGGATGAGGAAGACTCAGCTCTGCCCCCCACAGGTGAGGCCCTTTTGCTGGCAACAGTAGAAGTCACAGACTCTGGCCTTGACCCCGGGGCCATGAGGAGGCCTGGTACCCAACTGTTCTCTTCCATCTCAGCCAGCCCTGTCCTGGCTTCTCTCCTTACCCTGACACTGTGGCTGGGGTTGCCAGAGCGGCGTATAAGAGTGGCAATCCCACAAGCCTGTGACAGCTGGGGATGCGTGGCCACAAAGGGGGGGGCGGGGCTTGAGGCCTCCAGCCTGCGTTCTGTGCTATTCTGTGCAGTGGGTGATGGGGGGTACCCCACGCTGCGCCTCCGCAGTGGAGGACAGGCTGCTAAGTCATCTCCCACTCAGCTCCCATCAAAGAAGCCAAAAGAGACTGGGTCTTCTGGTGGGCGGGGCGGGGCCCTGGCGGCTGTGGGACGGTGAAGATTTACACCAAGTGTTCTTCCCTGGATGCTTTTACTGGGAAAGTGCTGCATGCAGGGTGTCTGGGGTTGGAGCTGGGAGAAAGCTGTGCCGTTGTGAAGGGAGGCGCTTTCCACGTGGCATCGGGTACACGGTGTGTGGCATGGGGGTCGGGAGGAGTTGGGAGGCCCTGGCTGCAGGGTTGAGGGAACTCGACAGGCGAGGGTTCCAGATCTCAAGGGTCCTTTAGGCAGTGGACGATTTGCCGCGACACCACCTGTGACTTCATGGAGCTGCGCAAGAGAGACATGGGGCTCCATCCGCCGTTTGGTCTCGTTTTCGTAGTTCCCCAAGTCCTGCGAGCCTGGAGCTCCCACAGCCTGAGGTCACCGTGGTCACTGAAGCCGCATTGGCTGTTTCTTCCAGCTGGCTGTCCTGGAGGGGTGGGGCTAGAGTGGGGGACACCATCTGGCCTGTCCCCCTAAAAGAGGGGAACGGGGTGTCTCTGTGTCTGACCGGTTAGAGTCTGAGAGAGAGGAGACTGGAAATGAGGCTGGAAGGGGACAGAGGAGAAGGTGTGGGACAGCTTGGTGGGAGAAAGTGTCAAGGAGTCTGGGGAACCAGAGGAAGTGAGCAGCCAGAACGCTGGGAGGGTGACAGTCCCGTCTGGTGGCCGACGGTGGGTGCCGGGTACCGTGGGGCGAGTGATGTGTCCCTGCGGACAGCCAGTTCCTCCCCTGAGGCAGGCAGAGACTGCATCCTCTCATTCCTAGTGACAAGCTCTTGACTACTGCCCCCCCCCCCCGTGTCTTCGGTTTAATGCCAGTGTTTGTTTTATAAAGTAAAGGGAGTGATTACGCCTAAGGCAGGATATTTATTTTGTGTTTTTCACTTTTTTCTTTCCAACTTCAGGTCGAAAAGTTACCTGTGAGAACCTAACACTCTCTTGTGACATACTCCACCCTGAGGAAGCTTCTCCAGGTCCTCGGTGGGCCCCTCCCCCTTGGTGACAGGAAAGGAGCCAGCATTCCGACCGACAGGTAAAGCCACTCTACTTACCTGCTCCTGCCTTGGGGTTTGAATTTGCAGTGAGGAATGCTTTAATAAGGTCACTTCACCTTCCGGAAGGTAGTGTGGGGCCGTGGCAGGGCGTCCCATGCCTGTGTTTACAGTTGATAGTGTCTTCAGGGCGTCTGTGAGTTGGTTGAGTCAAGAAGAGCCAACGGGTCCCCAGGAAAGCGCGGGGTTCACTTTGTTCTCTGTCATCGGCGTGGTTTTGGTGAAGTTAGTTTGGGAAGGAAGGCAGGCTGGTTGCGTGGTCTGCGGCCAGTTTGTCAGCATGAGATGTCCCAGTGACCAAAGTCGGGATGGCCTCCAACATAAGGCCTGGTTGACCTGAAGCTTAGGAAGCTGCAGTAAGTAAGCCTCTGCCTTGCTGGTGAGGGGATGGGGTAATGCCCTGACCCCAGGGCGGGCAGCAGGTCAATTGAATGAGCCACCAGGGTCAGTGTCACACTTGCAGACTAAGGGCTCAGGGACAACCTGTGCTTTCATAAAAGCTCTACACTACTTCAGTTCCCTAGGCCTGTTTGTAGAGCCCAAGAAAACACTACACCTATAAAGGAAGTCCACGAACGCCCAAATAAAGACAGACAGGTATTTATTTGGGGAGCGCTCACACAATGGCGGTAAATAGGTAAATAACCACCATGGTCTTCTGCCCCTGGAGGCGCAGGATGCCGAGACCACAACCCAAGAGACAGCCCGAGTCAGCCCCTCCCCTTCCTTATAAGGGGTCACGTACACACACCAAAGCCACACCCTAAGGCCATTACCTCTAGTCTATTGGCGGAACAAGATGCCGCTACACAAGGATTATGATATAAGACACTCGGGGGTGGGGGCTGTAAGGACCTTGGGCGCCAGGCACTCATGCTTTCTCCTGGCCCATCTGTGTGTTCACCAGCTAGGAAATACCTCAAGTTGTGTGGCAGTCAACTTGTAGTCAACCCCATCGTGTGGGTTCTGAGGAGAGAACTCGTAGGGTCAGAGCTTGGTGGCAAGTGCCTTTGCCTGACGAACCATCTCTCTGTTCCCCGGTGATGGCCTTTGCTGGGCCAAGGTGTAGTGGGGACGGTGGGTGGCTTTCCCCCAGAGCCCATTGCAGTGTCCGTGGGAAATAATTATTCGTGGTGTTGATGCCGCTCCGGGGGCACGCTCACTGTCACCAGAGGTTTCCTCTTCCACCAGGCTGTCCTTTGGTCACGTGACCCCCTCTGCGTCGTGTATGGAAGGGGTGAGCTCTCGGCAGACACTGTGCTTGGGTTTTTGAGTTTCGGTCTTCTCCTGGGCTAGGGGGGGCTGTGACAAGCTGACGCTGGGCCCTTGCAATTCTGGTCAACCACGTTGTCACGAGGGGGGAGTGACAGTCACATCCTGTTGTGCAGGTGAGTGAGGGCACTGACGAGGGCAGGCTTGGTACATAGGTCCTCACATTTCTCAGTGGGTGATATCTTATCAGGGTGCAGCCTGCTGTTTTGGACCCCGGGGACACAGAAGAAAGGGTCTCAAAGAGTTCATCATGAGGTGGGAGGTGACAGACGAAGCCCCTGTGTATCGCACGCAAGTAATGTTGGGGAGGGGTAAGCCTGGGGGCAAACTGAAGTGTGCTGAGCTGACCGACAACCAGGGATGGAGGAGGCTGCTGTCTAGACAGGGTGGTGGGGTTAAAGCGAGTGAGAGGACCGTCTAGAGGGGGGGGGGCTGTGTGTTGCCAAGACCCCAAGGTAGGGATGAGCTGAAGCCTCTAGAAGATGGGTGTGCAGAGCTGAATGGTCGAGTGTGGACTGGATAGAGTGAACATGAGATCCAGTTCCCCGGGGTCTGAGGCCAGAATCCTTGTGGGGCAGGGCAGGGCGGGGCTGGGCGGGGCGGGGTGGCGGAAGTGTTGTGATCTTCTGTTAAAACCAAGCGAATCCGCTGAGGAGCTCTGAGTCAGAGCTGTGACTCAAGTCTGACGATGCTGCCTTTCGGTAGGTAGAGGGAGTCAAGGCAGGGAGGTCAAACTTGAAGCTGGGGTCAGCTGAGGGCTGCTTCTCAAGAGCAGAGAGGTGGATACCAGGACAAGTCTGGACAAGTCAGGACCAGTCTGAGCAGACTCCTGTGCCATCCTGACTGAGACAGCCCTGTTCAGTGAGCCTGAGCCATGCTGGGAGGTTCTTGTCGGTACTCCCTTGTCACTCAGATGGCGGTTTGCGGCTCCCAAGAGCCTCAGAAGAGCTGTGTTTTGCAGCTGGTCCCAGGCAAGCCCTAGGGTCCTGTCACTGGTTGCTGGAGCTCCTGACTCTAATGGGCAAGGACAGCTTGTCCTGCTCACCTTTCTGTGCTCCGGAAAGCCAGTGTCCCCAGCGAGCCACCTCTTTGGGGCCATTAGAGCTGAAAGCACAAAGCCGATTTGATTGGTCCTCAGGATGGACAAGTGCCTTCACACGGAACTACTTACTCTGTGTGGCACACTCACATTCTGACCTCCCCTCCCTCCCGTGCGTTTAGAAGGGAGCTCTGGTGCGCTGGGGGTACAGCTGTGTGTCTGACCGAGTCTTGTCTCTCCCGTGGGGTGAGGGCAATGGGGAGTGTAGACTCACAGGGTCTCATCTTCTGAGTGAGGACGGCATGGATGGATGTACATCCCAGCTCCCCATATGTGACCACGATAGCCTGCCTGTCTCTTCGTCATCTCTGGGAGGGCAGTAGGCGGGTCTCTGGATGAGTGGCCAGGCATGCCAGGCTACCGACTCCTTCATACAGCTCCCCCCCCAACCACAGAGTGATGCCCGGTGATGTCAAACACACCTCCGGGATGTGAGGAGCCCTTGCTCTGACTCCTTGGGGGGGGAGGAGGGAGAGCTTCTCCTAAGAGTGGTTTTGTGGTCAAAGATGAAGGACCTGGGCTAGACAAGCCTGCTGGACTCCTACAGCCCGCACGAAGCTGGGTCATGGTTCTAGAAATGGCTTCGACATCCGGGCCACTTGGTCTCCATCACTGCGGAGTGTCCTTGCTCAAGGGAAGACAGGGGAAGAAACGGTCCCCCCCCCGCCCCCCGCCTTTGCCCCTGCCCTGTGTGTTTCTTGTGCTTTGCGATGGAACCATGCCATCAGGTCTTATTTAAAAGCTCACCCCTTTCAACATGTAGTCAATTTGGGTCTCACTGTTGCAGTCAGTTCCAAGCCTTCATCAGAAACAAGGGTGGACATTCATCTGCTGCAAAATGAGGGGTCGCGGTGGCCAGGCTGTGGGCAGCGGTCCATCAGACGCGATGGAAGGAGGCGTCTGTCGCCCACTGGCACGGGGTAGGGGGTGGGCGTGGCGTCAGTGCCACGGCTCCTCCGTGCCAGCCCTCTTCTTTCTTTGTGTTGTCCCCGTGCTCCCAGATCCTCCCGAACACACTCCCGGGTACGAGTTGACGTCACTTGGAGGAAACCAAGGGTTGTGGCCAGCTGTTCCCTCTCCAGACGTTTCTGAGAGGTGATAGTTGCTCATGTTCAGGAGCCCAAGGGGTGGTGGTAAACTGAGTCTTCTACCTGCCTTCTGTGCCCCTCACAAAGGACAGCAGGAGGCTGAGGCAGGGTCCTGCAGGCTGGGGTGGTGCATGTTCTTGGTTGAACCGCTGCCGGGCCGGCACCCTACAAGTGCTCAGTGTTGGAATGCATCCATCTCCGAGGCGTCCCCCCCTTGAGCTGCATCCCATGAGGACAACAGGCAACATCCCATAAATCATCTCCGAATGAGCGTGTTTCCTGCACTCATCCATCATGCCTGGCTCTCCTCTGCTTGTTTTTAAAAGCTGTTAAACCAGAATCCATCACAGGGGATGCTGACACCTTGGGCTGAGCTGAACACAGGCTGCCTGAATCTGTGGTGGGTGCCCCCCGTCCCCCGCCCTCGCCGCTGCCGCTGCCGCCGTGTCCCCCGCCCTCGCCGCCGCCGCCGCCATCACCACCACATCAGCGCCGAGGTCTCCTGCTGTGGGAAGCAGAAATATCAGAAGCCACTTAGAGACAGATCTTCCCGCTGTCCGTCTGTCCAGAGCCTGCCCTGCTGCATTGCTTGCTGGGCAGAAGGGGCGGTGCCCATCTGACCTACATGTGGCTTTCCGGGAGGGACTTCTGCACTCATCTGGGCTTCCTCTAGGACCTGATAGTTTAATTAGGGGGGAAAGCACCCCGTGGCTGCTCTTCTGTTGACACCAATGTGCTCGGAGAAGTCTCGGTGGTGTGGAGCTCAACTTCTTCACTCCTCTGAGCATTTTTTTTTAAATCATGGAATGAACTCTGGGGACGGCCCTGTGCTCACCTCGGGGATCTAGGTCTCCCTTTCTTCCCACCTCCCACCTCCTCCTGACTTCCCCCTCTCTTCCCTCCACCTTCCCCTCCCTCTTTGCTGCCTCCTCTTTTCCTTCCTAGTCTTCCTTTCTCCCCCCCCCCGCTTCCTCTCCACTGCTCTTGAAAGATTCCCTTCACCCTAAGTTTCTCCGTGTCCCCTTTCCCAACCCTGCTCTCCCAGCTCCATGCTTGGCCTCACCGCCACCTGCCTTCCCCTGTAGCCCACAGTCATGTAGCATCCGTTATATCTGAGAGGTGTCAGGGAAGGCGAGAAGGCATGAGATTCCCCCTTCTCAAGGAGAACCTGAGGCTGGAACTGTCTAGGCTTTGGGGCTTTCCCTAAACGCCTGATGCTGGGTCTGCCGGTCCCTAGATGCCTGGTGCTGGGTCTGCGGGTCCCTAGACAGACAGATGTCACAGGCCTTGGTGGCATTTGTAGTATCTTCTTCTCCCATCTGCCTTCAGCATCTCCTCTGTCCTTTCCTTTGCCTCTTATTTGTTGGTTCAAGGATAAAATCGGTCACTGGCGTTGGTGTGACCCTTTTAAAAAGTGGACCAGGTCAATACGTTTTCCTTTGTTGCCTTTGAGCTCTGCAGTGGAGCCAGGAAGGGGCTGGAAGGGTCACAGAGGATGCCAGAGGGTTCCCCAGGTCTTGACTCCTAGGTGAAGCCGTCCAATTAGAGCACATTAGTCACTAGGGTAATTAGCATTAGTAACTATTAGGTTGCTCCAGGTGCAGCTCCCACCCAGGAGTGGGAAGGCATTTCTGTCTCTGGGCTGTCTCTCGTGCTTATGAGGAGAGGGACAGGGTGACGGCGAGCTTCTTGTGGGTCCCAGTCCCTGAGCCCAGGGCATCAGGTGGCCACCAGGAAAGGAAGATCGGCTGGTGGTTGTGTTCGGGCTGTCTTACCGTCACCGTCTGTAGCAGCAGAGAACCACAGCCTGCGCAGGGGCGTTGCCCAGAGGCCCTCTGAGCTCCCGTAGTGGTGGCCTCAGTGCTTGTCGCTGTGTCTGTGGCTGCATGGCTCCCATCCTCGCCTCGGCCATGGCATGGCTGTGCCCCACCCCCGCCCCACCCACCATGCCTGCTCTCTGTGTGCCTGATCTTATCCACTTGTAAAGTGATCTTATGAAGATCCCCGTCATTGCCCTAGACCCCTGCTCTAGCACAGCTTCCTCCTAACTGGATGGCGCCTGTGAGGCTGCTGTTTTTAATGTGTGTGTCCCCTCACGAAGATTGGGGAACATAGTCGCACAGCCAGTGTCCTCGTGGCTGCTGGGGGAAGGAGCGTCCCAGCACTATAACCTTGAGCGGGCCACCCACGCACTGGAGATCTCCGGAACGCCGCCTGGACTGTTGAAGGCGATGATAAGGAAGTAAGGAGAGAATGAGCCAGGCAATAAAGACGGGCAGACATGAGCAGCAAGACGAGATGTCTTAGTCTGCTTCCTGTTGCAAAAATACCTGAGAGCAGGCTACTTACACAGAAAATAAGTATCTCGCACATTTCTAGAGTGGGAAGTCAGAGAACGTGTTGCCAGAGACTGAGGAAGCCTTCCTTACAGCATCATGGAAGGAAAGACCGAGCAAGAGTCAATGCTTGGCTCTGTCTCTCTCTTCTTGCAAAGCCTCTATGCCATCCTGGGACCATCCTTGTGACTTCATCCAACCCTAATTCCTTCCCAAAGGTGTCACCCTAGATACCATTAACATGACACTGGAGAGTGATTTTCAACACAAGAAATTGGGAGACACATTCCAACCATTAGTGAAATCTTGAGAGCCCCAAGATCCATCCCGTAGGTCCTGGCCAGGCAGAGAGGAGGAAGTGATAGCCAGTATTGATTGCTGAGAGCACCTGGCCACACCCTCCATACCCATCATACCATGGAATGTGGTACAATTTCCCTCTTCTTCCAGCCCAGGCGTTCATTCGTTGTGTGTGTGCATGTGTATGTGTGTGTGTGTTTGCATGAGCGTGGGCTAGCCAGTTTGTCCCAGGGACCCCCATCTCTGCCTCCTGAGTGCTGGGATTCTAGGAGGCTGCCACACCTGCCTTGCTTTTATGAGAGGTCTACGGATCCGAATTCCAGTCTTCATCCCTGCGCAGCAAGCATAACTGGAGAGCTGTCTGCCCAGTCCTGGAAAACCAGCTTGAAGGCCAATTAAGAGTGAAATAGCTGGACCTTAACCTGACTGTAGCAATAGCCTGTTTATAACACAATTCTGAGTACACATTCTCATGCAAGGAGAGAGAAACCCGGGTCTTTCACGCAGGGTCTCGAAAATGAAGAGCGCGGCTTTGGAGGAAGCTGGAGAGGGTTGCCAAGCAAGGGAGGGAGGAAGGGACCCTGGAGTGGGAGGAAGTGGACTTGGGTCTCAGCGGGCAGGTAACTGCTGGGAGTTCGGGCTTCAGCAGCGCTTGCAGATGTGAAGGCCAGAGGAAGGGATGGGAGAAGATGGTAAGTGGAGACTCTGGGGCTAAGAGCCAGGCTAGGAGCACATGGACGGCCCATGAGGGTTCTAGGACACAGATCTAATGTCATTGGGAGAGGGGACAGAGGAGCTCTGAGCTGCATCCAGGTTTACATGTAGGGGTCACAGGAGAGTCGGGTGACCTTGGGGGCACTGGTTTCAATCCTCCCGGTGCCTTTGTGTCCCACTTTCTCCTGTGATGATGAACTACCTGGGGACAAGGGGCATATCTTCAGGAAGAGCCACTGTCCACAGAAGGGAGGGAGCGACCATCTTGCTACATCAGGATACGGTCAACATGGAACAGCACACAGGGATAGACCTGTCCCACAGAAACCGTGGGCAGAGGTTGTGACACGCCCTGGGCAGAGAGGCAGGAGAGGGTTTAGTGTGGGTCTGACTACATCCCGATTCCAGAGCCAAGTGTCTCATCATCAGAAGCCACGAGGCGTTCCTGTCCGTGTCATTTAAAAGGGCAGACGCAGGGCTTGCTGGCGTAACTCTCAGATGAGAACTCAGCCAGGTCCCTGCGTCTGGCTGGGTAGAATCTCCATTCTGTCCTTTTGCACCATTAGAGGGACCGCTGTGACTCTACTCAGAGGGTGAGGGTCAGTGGGGCTTGTACCAGTTGGGACAATGTCATTTGTTATGGTTTGCACGGTTCCACCAAGTGTTTCAGGGCTGGAGCTTCCAAAGGCACCCATGTTCAGAAGAAGAGGGCTGCCACACGTGTGCCCATGTGTGCCTGTGCACGTGTGTGGTAGAAGAGGGGACCAAAGAGAGACAGTCACCCTGTCCTCCCCTCGGACAGACAGCTCTGCCCTTGACCTGACACCATTGGACACTGCTGAGTTCTGGCCGGAAGCACAGGAAGCTTGCAGGGTGTGGCCTCCTGCAATTACCACTGGGGGATCTATCAGGATGTCACCACCCTGGCAGGACCTGAAAGCAATCACAGTTGAACCCAAGTTCAACAAAGGCCAAATAGGATGCTCCTAACGTCCTGTGAGGGGCACCTCTGTACCCAGAGTCCCTCAAACATTGCAGAAGGCTTCCTCCAAGTGACCGGCTGGCAGAAACCTCGGGGGTTCCGCCAAATGACCTGCTGGTTGAGTGCAGCCCATCTTGTCTGGAATGTTTGTCATTCCGAGGGTTGAGGGTGTCATCACCCTGCTAACCGTCACAACTCTGAGAAAACAGGCACAGGCCAACTCTGAGAGCTGAACCGTTCAGGGTCAGACCCCCACAGCAGCTCTTCATCACGGATAGTCACTCAGAACACGCATGCTGAGCCGTTCAGGGTCAGACCCCTCTTCAGCACGGATAGTCACTCAGAACACGCACGCTGGGTGGCTTTCAGGTCGACATTACTCAGAGCTAGGTCCAACCTGGGAACCATGGCTGCTGGGCTCGTGACTGAAAACTGCACCTGAGAACAGGGCCACCAGGCCATTTTACGTTTCTATAGCTAAGTACCTGAGGCTGGACAACATTATGAAGCAAAGAAGTTTATCTAGGTCTAGGGCTTTCAAGATAATGGTACCGGCATCAGCTCAGCTCAGCTCTGACGGGCACCTTCCAGCAGATACCACAGTGGTAAGAGCTTTTGTTGGGGAGAGCGGCCACATGTCTAGACAGGAAGTCGGGGCGGGGGGGGGGATTCTTGTATAATAGCTCACTCTCATAAACTGTCACTCAGGGTCCCATGAGAGCAACCCTAAACTTTTCTGAGGTCAGGACCCAATGACCTAAGGATTTCCTACTAGGACATACCTCTCAAGATTGCCTCGGTGGGGACGAGCTCACACCACATGAAGCGCAGTAACAGTAGCGGTGTCGGCGGTGCTGGCTATGATGGTGGTGATGGTGGTATTGGCAGGGAGGGCTGGTTTCAAAAGCTTCCCTCCGGCTGTGGAATCCATCCTCTCCATCTTCACGCATTCTTTTTTCTGTACGAGTCTGTCCTCGTCTCCTAATTATTATAGTTGGATTGGACGATGGACCAAGCCATCTTCACCTCTCTGCGGCCTGTCTCCAAACATAACTGGCTAAGCATCAAGGACTATGAGGTGTTTGTGTGTGTGTGTGTGTGTGTGTGTGTGTGTAGAGAGAGAGAGACAGAGAGACAGAGAGACACAGAGAGAGACACAGAGAGAGAGACAGAGAGAGAAAGGGAGGGAGGGAGAGACAGACAGACAGACAGACAGACAGACAGAGAGATCACCTACCTTTAGCTCCTTAGCGCTGGGTTCAAAGGCATGGTAAAGGCTTGAGCCACCACACTTGGCTTAGTGTATGAATTTTAAAACACAACTTAGTCCATCCCAGAAGGGCACTGCGGTACTTTCACAACTAATAATGAGTCTTCTATCATTTCAATATTTAACACGAGGGGTTAAGTTTTGGCAAGGTCTTACCCTATAGCCTAGGCTGGTTGCAACCCTGAAAGACCCTTCGGCCCCGCCCCAAGTACTGGGACTATAGGCACGCACCATCACACCTGGCATGGCCACTGTGGCATTGTGGGTAAGTCCCAGCAGGTCTATCTATGCTTTGGGCTTCAGTGACTGGGACTGATGACAAGTTCTCTCAGCTCTTTGACCTCTGCTGTCTATGGCAGTAAGAAGGTGGCCCCAGCGGGCCCTGTAGTTTCTCAGTGTGATCAGCTTAGGGAGCTGCCTGGGTCTGACTCCCGCCCGTCCCTCAGTCCTTTGGTCTATCATGGTGCTGCTGGCTTATCCTGCTTCTCAGGTAGTTGCTGTGTGTGATGGGTCTCCATGGCCGCCCTTCCCAAGACCATCTTTGAAAGGATGCTTTTGTGGGGACGTTACTTTGTATCTTACTGCCTGTCAGAAAGGCTGTCACTCTGTAGCCCCAGATGGCCTTGAACTCTTGGCACTCTTCCTGCCTGAGTCTGCTTAGTGCTGGGTTTGCAGCCATCAGTTACCATCCTGGCTTTGTTCGCCAGTTCTTTTGAGCTAAATCATCCCTGGGAGACCCTATTCTCATGAGGCACACCTCTCCTTTCCTGGCATGTATCGCCATGGAATCCTAGGACTCGCAGGTGTCTCTGCTCTGCTAACACGGATGCTTAGGGCTTCTGCTGACACCGGCTGAGATCTTTTGGTTGTCTGTGAGGTAGTCAGTTCTGCTTGGTTCCCCCCTTTTATGAAGTGTAACGGAATCTGGCCGTGTGATTTTGTACTGGGTACATTGGTGCCCCTCAGAGCCGGAACCCATGCTGCACATGGTGGGCTGTGCTCGGGAGGGAGGGAGATTAAATGGCTTGTCTTGGATGATGGAGAGGCACGTGGCATCGTGCCGGAGGTATGCATTTTCCCTCTGAGGGCTCCCAAAGAGGGAATATTAAAGCCCTACCCTTGGGGAACTGGATGTCTGCTTCCAGAAGGGGCCAAAGGAAGCATGACAGTTTCTGTAAGTCTCATTTGTTATCCTACACACACACACACACACACACACACACACACACACACACACACACACACCTTACATGGAGCCCACAGTGTACCTTGGATGGCTGTAACGTTACAGCATTCTCTCACGAAACACTCAACAAAAGCCAGTGCTTTAGGCAGGCGCAATTCTTAGCCTGTGGGGTGATCTGCCTCCTCATCCCACTCTGTGTCCATGAGGGCAAGGATAGGGAGGGAATGAGCAGCCCCCGGTAGAGCGGCATGGGAGAGCTGCCATGTAAGGTGTGTGCTGATGAGTCGATACCGTCTCCACATGACATTTGATGAGGCTGTGTATGATACTGTGACATTTTACAGAAGTCCCGCAGCCCAGAGAACAACAGTCATGTGAGCGCAGGCACTCCAAGCCCACCTCAGCCCCCAGCTGTGGTATCTGATTGAGGCAAGGATGCTGCATGGAGACCACTGAGGTGCAGGGATGTGACAGGAATACTTTGTAATAGGACGAGATGAAAACACAAAACTTGCCACCTCCATTTTCACAGAGCCCTTTCAGTTCTTGGGCTAGGCTCAGAGTAAGGATGGGGCAAGCATGGGTTTTCTGTGGAGTCCAAGATCTGTAGAACACAGATGTGGGGGTGCCCCTGGCACCCCGTGCTGGGCTCAGTTAGCAGATGGCGCCTGCAGGAGGCACAAGGTCACACAAGAATCAGGACCTGCAGAATCTGGAGAGGGGAAAAGTAACCTACTCACACCAGGCCACCAAACAGATTTAATGATGGGTCCTGGAATACACTGGCACTGGCTCAGGACACCTAGTTCAGGCAGAGAAATGGTGCACACCGGGAAATAATTGGACATGGAAACAAATCTGTTTCAGAGACAAGGTTCAACAAGACAAGGTGGAGGCCTAGGCCAGTAGGATCAATACAGCCTTCAGGACAGTCAGGTAAAGACTGAGGATATATATATATATATATGTATATGTATATATATATATATACACACACACACATATATATATATATAGAGAGAGAGAGAGACTAAAACTAACCCTAGTTCAACATAACTAACATTAAGTGCAACCAGATCCTAGTCAACTCACAGCCCCAATCCTAACCTAACTCTAACCATGACTAGAGCCTAGATCTATGTCTAACTCTTAACCCTAACATAACTTATTCGTAACTAGACCCAAGTCTTAAGAATAATTCTCATATAGCTCTATGAGCAGAACCTACTACTGTGTGTAACCATAACTATAGTAGACCCTATCCTAACTATAGCTATAACCTAACCTAACCTAACTCTACACTCAATATAAAATATTAATACTAATAAGCCCTGATGTAATAACACTAAAACTTATCCAAATTAACCCCATTAAACTCTAACCATAACCTAGCTTTGATCCTAACCCTAACCTTACCCTAGCCCAAATCCCAAACTAACCCTTCCTCAACTCTAACCCCATCCCTACCCTAACCCTAACCTAGCATGCACACACTAACTCTAACTCTAACCTAACCTCATCTTAACAGTAAACTAACTTTAGCTTAAAACTAACCTAACCATAGACTAACCATAGCCATACAAATCTGGACCTTAACCCAAACTCTAACCCTAATGTGAACCTAACCAGACCCTAGCTCTACCCATAGCCCTAACCCTAACCCAACCCGAACCCCAACCTAACCCTAACCTTACCTAATCTAACCCCAATCCAACAAACTAATCCTAACCATGAGCTACTATTGCTAATCTAACCATAAGCCCAGTCATAGCCTGATCCTAACTCAGTCCTCACCTAAACACGACCTTAACCCTAACTTTATGGTAACACTAATATAACCCTAAGTCAACCTACTTCGAATCTAACCCCACCCAACACTAACCCTTTTCCTGCCAGGAGCTCCGAGAGCAAGGCCAGGTCTCCAGAAAGGCTGAGGCAGGCAGGCAGGGTGCAGCCGTCCAGACCAGTCCCCCAGGCAGCATGAGGTTACTTGACATGGCGGAGGCCCATCATTCCCAGCATCCAGGACCCACATCAGACACCTGTGTGGGGAAGATGACCACACTGGGCATTTGCAAAGAGACCAAAGCTGAGACGTGAGTGGAGGAGGAAGAGGAGGGAGAGGAGGGAGAGGAGGGAGAGGAGGAAGAGGAGGGAGAGGAGGGAGAGGAGGGAGAGGAGGGGAGGGAAGGAGACGTAAAAGAGGAGGAAGGCTTCCCAGAGGCCTTGCTCCAAGTCTTTGCCCTCGCTAGAGAGAAGCATCAACTTCTGAGATACAATCACGAGGAGTGTCACGGGGCGTGGGAAACAGAGGCCCTGGACGCCAGAGCCTGGCGAGAAATAAGGGGGCCACATCCCACTGGGTGTCTGTCAATGCTGGGACAGGGCCCCAGGGGCAGAGCCACAAGGTGGCAGGTGTTGGGAGCGGTCAGGAAGCATTGGGAGCAGAGTCACTTGTTGGGCAGGACGAGTATAAGATGGGACAGGCACGCTCACCACAGGCAGCACACGGCGGGGTCGCTCTCCGCAGATACAACACGGCCTCACGTCCCCGACAGCCACGTGCACTTGGTTGGCATAAGAGCAGCTCTTCTTAGAGGAAGCATCAGTTAGAGACTTCTGGCAAAGATGAGTGGATTTTTTTTTACTTCTCTCCTCCTGTGCTCTCTCATCTCTCCCCATACCCCAGTCTCACCGGGTATCTCTGAGGAGGACACCCTGCTTGGTTAAAATGAGCAACTCCTCAACCTCTGTGACGAGCAGGCCTGACTGCACAGCCTGCGTGGATGCTCACCATTGCTGTACATGATGTTTCATATGTGTGCACACAGGCAGCTGTGTGCTGTGTTCACAAACAGTGAGGTCACCGTTGAAACACCCCGTGACAACATCATTGGTACAAATGACTCTCACTATGACATCACCAGCCAGGTTTGAGCCTTCTTCCCACCTGGCGGTGTCCCTCATCCCAGGCAAGGGGAGCACTATGCTTCCCCATAGAAGCCCCTTTCCCCCCCCCATCCCAAGAGTTTACCCTGCAGCCAGTCACTGAGCCCCATAGCAACCATGGCTGGCAACAGTGCCTGGTACCTTCGAGAAAAATTAACAAAATCACTTTCCTTCGGAGAAGTGGGGTGGGAAGGATCATGGCTTCTCATTATGTAATAGAATAATCTTTGAAGTTCAGTTCACACCCTCAGGCTGAGGGTTGATTGAGAGCTGAGGTGAGCACCCCCCCAGGTGCCATGGAGTGGCTGGCCTGCATGCTGGTGGGAGGTGGGAGGCCCCGTGGTTGCTAAGGATGGAAGGAGAGGCTCTGATCCCAGGGGTGAGTGTGGATAGGTACCATTCCCTCTCCACACCACCACTGTCTGTGAGGGGCAAGATCAATTCCACACACACCTCCGCCCATCCCTGGCTCCCAGGACAAGCCCAGATCATCAGGGGCTAGGGAAGATTATCAACCAGTATCCAGAGAAGAATGGGACAGACTAGCCAAGTCCTGGCTGGGGATCCGAGAATGGGGAACGGCCGTGAGGGCTTCTCTAGACCTTCAGGCCAGGGCTGTGTGACCCTGGACTGTGACTCCACTACTTAGTGTCTTAGCAACCATGGGAACAGATGAGGTTTCTGGAACACTCTGATGTGCATGCATAGTGGACCTCTGGGAGGAAGCATCAGGCCAGGTTGGTCCTGGGAATTATGGCTCAGAGCCTCAGAACCTTCACTTACCGTATACTTCCTGTTGCAGGATCCAGATCCAATTTGGAAGCAGCATGGGGTGGGGTGGGGCAGGGCAGGGGGACCACTCAGAAGGACAACTCTGCCAAGGAGGTTCCCTGCACAGGTGACTGCCCTGCCCATCGCCAGCGACCCCCTTGTCCACCCTGAGCCAGGCAAATGAGAATCCACAGGGCATGGAACCAGGCTTCCTACAGAGTGACTCCGTCACCATTGCCCTGGCTGGAGTTCAGGGCAGGGCCTATGAGGCCAGCGGGCCGTGGTTGCAGCCTTCGGCTCAGCAGCCCTCAGGCTACTCCGGCTAGTTAACATGCAAGCTGTGCATTGCTGGGAGAAATTTAGATTTTTTTTTTGCATGTGCGCTTGCATGTAAATGTGGGTAGGTGCTGTCCTGATTGATGGCAATTAGCATTTTCTAACGGGAACAGATGTTCAGATTGCCAGGAGGCTGGTACCTACCGCCCACGCCGCCATCTGCTCTGCTGGGCAGGGCCGGGGGGAAGCAGCCCCGTCCCGAGGCCCGCCATTCCTTGGTGGTGTGTACTTAACAGGATTGTGTGAGATTGTTTCTGGAGGGGAGAAAAAAATAATAATAAAGATGTTTTCAGGGTTATAAATAGTTCGTGCTGTTTATTATGGGATGGAGCTCTTCTCTGACTAGCAGCCTGGGTTTCCATGTGCCGTGAACAAAGGGAGACCTGAACAGAATGCAAAGTGCCATTTCCATGCAGGGCAAGCAGCCTGGGAAGACAAGGTTGAGGGGCCTGAGACCCCAGGGCTGGGGAAGGTTGACAGGGAAATCAGGGGCAAGCCGGGGTTTGTAGCCCTCGACTCCTCATAACTCCAGGAAGCCAGAGCTCCTGATCGCCAGGCTCTCAATCCTGTGGCAGGTGGGCATGAGCTCAGAGCTGGGGCCACGCCCTGGGTCCTACTCACCCACTGGTAAATCCTCCTGCGCTTAGTCTAGGACCATGGCATCTGACTTCACCAAGCTCCTGCAAAGAGGAAGGGTTCATTTTGGGCACAAGGCAGTGCTGTGCCCAGCCAGGCTGGTGGCCGAGGGCAGGGCAGCCTCGCTCCCAGCTGTCTCGGGAAGTGTGTGAGGCCAGGCCGCAACATGCCTGGCACTTTGCCTAAGGGCAGCCGAGATAGTTCTTATTAATCTCCCGACAGCCAGCACAGGCAGATTCTCTTGTGTGTTTTTTTTTTCCTCTCTTCCTTTCTTGGTTTTTGGCTTCTTAGAACAAAACAGTTTGTTTGTTTTCTTGCTATAAAAAGAGTCATCCCCCCCTCCCATTCTGTCTGTGGGCAACAACCAGCCTGTAGCCCCCTCCTGCACAGGCAGATGTCTGCGGGGGAGCCTGTCGCCCATCCTCCGGGCATGGGACAGATGTCCCATCTTTGTATCAGGGACACCCTCCCTCTGTGGGCCGAGGTATAGCACTCCCCCAGGCTTACTGGGCACTTGAACACCCATGCTTAGTTTTCTGTTGTGGCTGGTTTTGAGGCAGGGCCCTCACTCTCACTAGCACTCAGATTTCAGACAGGTACCGCCATGATGGACTTCCAGGCTCAGAGGTATCATGGCCCCGTTCCTCATTCCCGTGGTCTCTGTGGTGGAATGAGGAATGGGGCCCATCCACAGCATACAATCTCCTCTCCTCCAGGCCTCCGCTCACCCCCTCCTCCCCCTTACATCCTCCTGGCAGCGTGACGGCTCTGCCGTGTTAGAAGTGGTTTAGAGAAAAGGACATGACTGGTCCCTCGGTGGGAAGGAGGAGGGAAGGGTTTTTCTGACACACCTCCATCTCTGGGGGGGGGGTGTCTCTGGCTTCTGCGTCCTCTCACTTGGATTTTCTGATCCAAGTCCCCCATAGCTGCTGTCAGGTTCTCTATTGGAGGCTCTGCCAGGGGCTCAGGGTTTGGCCAGGAGTTTATCTGCAAGAAGCCTTGCTGCTGGTGGTGTTGTGGTGGCGGCTGCTGCTGGTGTTGTGGTGGTGGGGGGTGGATAGTGGCAGTAGGGAGAAAGCGATGATGTCACAGTAGGAAGGATTTGTCCCTGTCCTCTCTCTCTGTCTAGAAGTGGGCATGGGCCCACAGTCCCTAAAGAAGCAAATGCCCGATGTCCTGAGACCTGGGTGGAGGAGAATCTTTGTGAGCTGCCAACATGGCGTCTGGTGGCTTTGGGGACACAGAAATGTGCACAGACCTGGCCACTTTCCGGCTGCAGTTTGGCTCATCTGCACGTCTTGCTTCTGCAGAGACTTTTTCTGCCGCACAGTAGGGCCTCTGCATCTCAGCACTGTCCCCATCTGGGATGTCCCGCTGTTATGGGAGCTGTCTTGTGTACCGTAGGACACAGCTGAGCTGTGTGGTCACGGGCTCTACCTAGGAGAGGCCGGTACCCAGTCCTGTCCCACAGGCTATGACACCCAGGGATGTCTCCAAGTAAAGCCACACTGTTCAAGTGGCGACCCCCTGCCACTTTATCCCTGGTGACTCTGCTCCTGAGACCCAGGGTCCCAGCACTCTCAGTGTCGCTTGTCCCAGTGCATGTGTCCCCATGAGCTTTTAATCTTGGAAGCAGCTCCATGTGGTCTCCCGCCTCCCCAGAAGCCTGTGTTTCATTGTGGCACTAACATTCCAGCTGACAGCTATTTATAGATCACCCACTATGTGCAGTCCTGCCAGCTGAGGACCCACTAGTGGCCTTACCCTCTAGGGGGCAGGGAGAGAGGATGTGGATTATACCCCAGGGGTGGCACGGAAGTCTTACAGCACAAGTGGCTGCAAACAGTGGCCTTTCATTGTCTTGTAGTTCTGAAGAGTGGAGTGAGGAATGGCGGAGGAGCTCCTCCGCAGGCTTGAAGGAAGGGTGCCCTTCCGCCCACTGCAGCTGCCTATTTCCCGAGTCTGTCTCCACTGTCCTCACACAGCTTGATGGTCTGCACCTCTCTCTTTTTTAATCAGCTAGTGGATTTTGAGACAGGACATTGCTATGTAGCCTAGACTGCTTCATCTCCTTGCTTCAGCTTAATGAAGCCACGTTTCCAGATGATGTGCATTGGTTCTAGATGTGCATCAGTTCTGGATGTGCATCGGTTCCAGATGATGTCCATCACAGTTCCAGATGATGTACATTGGTTCTAGATGATGTACATTAGCTCTAGATGCACATCAGCTCCAGATACCCATGTGCATCGGTTCCAGATGATGTGCTTTGGTCCCAGATGTACATTCGTTTCCAGATGATGCACATCAGTTCCAGATGACATACATTGGTTCCAGATGATGCACATTGGTTCCAGATGATGTGCATCAGTTCTAGATGTACATCGGTTCCAGACGTGCATAGGTTCTAGATGTGTACCACTTCCAGATAATGCACATCTGTTCCAGATGATGCACATCGGGTTCAGATGATGCACGCTGGTTCTAGATGATGTACATGGGTTCCAGATGTGCACAGGTTCTAGATGGGCATCGGTTCCAGATTATGTATATGGGTTCCAGATGATGTACATCAGTTCTAGATGTGCTTTGGTCCCAGATGGGCATTAGTTTCCAGATGATGTATATCGGTCCCAGATGTGCATCACCAGACCTGTTTCCCTCCTGTCTCTAACAAAGGCACCAACCGGTTAGTCAGATTCGGAGTCCATCATAGTTTTGTTTCCTGTCACTGTCGCAAAACACCCTGATGGAAGAAACTTAAAGGATAAGAGGTGTGTTGGCCTTGTGTTTCCAGGGCACAGTCCGTCAGTGTGGGGCAGTCAAGGCAGGGACCTGAAGCAGCTCAGTAGCCAAGAGCAGAGAGTGATGGGTTAGTGCATGTGTGACGGTGCTCTGCGTCCAACTCATCCCGTCTAGGGTGCCAGGCTCAGGGCCTGGTACTGCTCACAGCAACACTCTCCCCTCATATTCTCAGATGCCCGTCTCCCAAGTGATTCTAGGCTGTATCCGCTCCCATCTTCTGAGGCCTCTTGGGGTAGGGTTGGAACAAGTCACATATTACAGAGGTGAAGATACAGTGTAACAGTTGACAACGGTACAGTCCTACTAGACGTGCCCTTAAAGTTCAGTGGGGGAGGGACTGGAGCATGGTCCCTTCTCCGCCTTCCTCTCCCCTCTTCTGCTCTAGGCTCAGGGAGAACTGAAGCTTTGTGCAGTAGCCTTTTCTTTAGCACAATGTTTTATTAATTCCCTTGGCAATTTCACACACGTATGCGATATATTTTATCATCAACACCCCCGCTCCGCCCTCTAACTCCTCCCAAATTGCCCCATCCCCCACCCCTCCCAATTTCAAGCCCCCCCCACCTTTAAAATTTTTTTTATAACCCATCAAGTCTAGTTTAGGGTGTGGAGCCCTCTGCTGGCTAGAGGATGACCTACCAGGGCCCTATTTGGGTGACGGCATAAGCTTGGCCTGCGCCCCCTCCCCTCCCTTCCTCAGAGACCCTGATCCTCCAGCTACTTCTCTGCTAGGCACAGTGCTCGGCCCTGGGGAGCTGGGGCAGCTGGTTTGCGGAGCCGATGGTGAGGGCAAAGTGGACCTCGAACCAGGTACTCTATAGAGAGCCATTGTGAGTCAGGTGGATGGGTAAGACTCCAGACTCAGCTGGCAGGAGAGGTGGTCAGGGACCAAGTTTTAAAAGGCTGCCAGACTTTACATGACGGCCATCAGTCATCCAAAGCGTGTGACTCAGGGCCGCTTGGTATCGTCACCACACTGAACAGCGTCACCTCTAATTCCAGAACATTTTTTTTCACCCTAAAAGGAGTGTTCACCCTTACTTTTTACCCATCCTAGACCCCAGCGTGCTCCAATCCTCCTTCTGTCTGGATGTACTGGCCCCTTCTGCCTGTCTCACGTGTACGGACTAAAATCTAGCCTTTAGCAACACATTATAACATGTACGATAACCTAATTCTGTCTCTCAACCCCAAGTAATACTCTGTTACATAGATATACCACATTCGATGTGAGCATTCAGTTCCTAGATAGGCATTTCACTGTCAAAAGGACCAGTCTTCCGAGGGAATGTTTATACCCCCACTATCATTTGTGGGGTGCAGAAATAAAATTACTATAATCAGAAATCCCAGCATCCTCACCCTCAGGTACTCCTACCCTCCAAACACCACTAGAATTAACTCGATGAGCCCTTTGAAGAACCAAGTATCCCAATACCTAGGACTTGTGGAGGGACTTAATTCTTAGCCTTTGTGTGTGTGTGTGTGTGTGTGTGTGTGTGTGTCTTGTGTGTGTGTGTCCTGTGTCAAAGGTGGTCCAGACGGCTATGAATTCTGATGCTGGATCCAGTAGATGTGGCCTCCGTGGGAACATGGACCTGCTTTCTGATTGCCGGCTTTCACCCGGTGTCCTCCTGTTAGGCACCATCTGCTCCCTGGCATCCCTTTCCTGTCCAGGGTATGGCGCTTTCCTGTGCCACCACCCCACAGAGCCCATGCCATCTGGGCCACGCTGGGAGACCCAGGACCTGCTTTGCCCAGGAAGCCCAAAGTCTGTCACAGAAGGGTGAGCGGAGGACAGTGTCCCAAGCCCATGGTGCAGCCACTCCAGGCTTCCTGCTTCCTGGTTCCCCCACACAGCCGGGACCAGCTGGTAGACCCTCTTACTTACAAATAGAACGGATTCGGGGTTTTTGGAGCTGGGTGGGAAAGGCCAAGAAGGGACAATGGAGATGGTGCAACCTGACTGTCCTGGAGGGACATACTCCCTTTCCTCCTGCTCTGGTACACCCAGGAGGCACATGTGGTCCCGGTGGGTGCCATACAGAAATGTCTGGATGTCATCCCATGAGTGTAGAGACACGGGCTCTCCGGCATTACGGCAAGGCAGGTCCTACTGTGTCCTCACTTCCTCGCAGCGGGACCCCATTTCTGTGCCCTATAGCAACTTCATTGTCTGGAGGGTCCCGTGGTAGCCACAGCCAGCCTCTCCCTTTCCAGATGTTCTGGACGTGTCACCCTGGGAGGGTTTCTCCGAGCGGCCCTAGCTTTCAGAGTGACATTCTGTCCATTGCACTCCAACCGTCTCCACGCTCTGGATGGCACTGCCTGGAGGCAGCAATCATGTCGTTCTTGGGTTCCATGTGTCTATGCGGTGCCCCTTGTTTGGAGGCTGCCCCTGTATGGGTATGTGATGCCCCTTGTTTGGGGGCTGCCCCTGTATGGGCACCGCTGCCACGCAGGGGCAAGAGGACACTATGTGCAGAGGCCCAACGGTAGCCACGGTGGGGAGAGCCACTGAAATGCTGGGCGGGACGCTGAGCAAATTAGCAGCCACGTGTCTCGGTTGGGCGATTACACAGCTCTCTGGAATTCGATGGCATTTGCAGAGATTAGAAAGGCCATCCCCCCCCCCCAGCCCCCATCATGAGCCAAAAAGACACAGTGCTCACATAGTGAGAGCTATTCATTTCATGTGGTGACCATTGGTAATGTCCCCATCCTAGAGACTCTAGATCTACTTCCACTCATTCCAGAGACATGGCGGGGGAGGGGGACGACTCCATAAGTTAAGTCTGTCCACATCCGTAAGAGGCAGATCACCCGGGGGACACGGGTGGCCGCACAAGACTGAGCATCTATGTGTGTCCATCTGCACCTGTGCCCTCTGGTGCATTCAGCTCTCCAAGTCCACAAGATGAGTGTCTGTGAATTCAACCAATCTCGGGCAGGAAAGCCTGAGAACAAAGCTCTGTGCAGCCGCCATTCTTATCCCACGAAGAGTCCTTCCTGTCTTAGTCAGGCTTCTGTTGCTGTGAGGAAACACCGTGACTAAAGAACAGGCTGCTGGGGAAAGCGCTCATCTGGCTCACACTCCCACGTCACGGTTCATCATCAAAGGAAGTCAGGACAGGAGCTCAAGCAGGGCAGGAACCCGGAGGCAGGAGCTGGTGCAGAGGCCACGGAGGGGCGCTGCTCACTGACTTACTCCCTACGGCTTGCTCAGCCTGCTCTCTTATAGAACCCAGGACCACCAGCCCAGGTATAGCACCACCCACCATGGGTTGGGCCTTCCTCCATCAATCATAATTAGCAAAATGTCCTACAGGCTTGCCTATAGCCTAA